CGGGGGAGCAGAGTGGGGAGGGGGTTTGCAGTAGCAGAGCTGGGGAGAGAAGCCAGGAGCCGTGCCCCTCCCCAGTCTCGGCCCCTCCTGGAACCAGTGCGGCCGTACTGGGGGGAACGGGGGGGCCGCAGCTCAGCCCAGTCCAGGCTACGAGCTTGCATTAGCCGAGGCATCGCGGGGCCCGAGCCGCGGACATCCTGGCAGGGTGGGACCAGCTGTGGCGCTGCCCTAGAGCGGGGTCAGGGTGAGGAGCGAGGGGGTTGTAGAGGTGACGATATACCTACCCCCACCCCGTCCAAGAGCCTGCATCTGGGATGTCCTGGATCTGCACCCGTCTCCTCCCCATGCGCCCCCAGACTTGGGGGGTTTGGGGCTGGGCCTGCGCGGGGGCAGAGGCTGGGGGGGAAAGAGACCCCCCCCCAGAACCAGCCTTGCCCCATCGTGCCGCTGCGGGCAGGTTTGGGGCAGAGGGTCCCTGTGTCCTGGGTGCGAATGCAGCTCACACAGCAGCTGCAAGGGTGATGGAGACCAGCTGCTTGGTGGCTCCACCTGAGTGCCACAGTGCCCCTTTATAAACCCACGATGCAGCCGCAGCTTGAGTCCAGTGCCCCGTGCTGGTCCCGACCCCCCCCAGAAGGACAACTAGAGAAGGGGCGACAAGGCTGACGAGTGCTATGGCAGGGAGCGACCAACAAGGCCAGGCCTGGTGAGCTGAGAAGAGAGAGGACGTAACCGGGGTTGACAAAATACTGAATGGCAAAGAGGAAAGTTGCTAGGCAGTGATTATTGACTGTCCCTCCCCATGCAAGAACAAGGGGCCACAGCATGAAACCAGTCAGTTGACAGCTAACAAAGGCCGTTTTTTTCTCCCCCCAGTGTCATTAAAGTGGGGGCTCGCTGGCGCCAGATGCGGTGGGAGACGAGAGGTCAGCCAGGTTCGCCAAGAGACTGGACACGTGCTTGGGGGAAAGGGGCATCGGTCGCGGGAGCGATGGGCACGGCCTGGGCCTTCCACGCAGGTGAGAGAGGAACAGGGGAAAACCCAGTGTCGACCCAGGTCCCTCTCCCTTCAGCCTCCCTGTGCGACTGAGCAAGACGGAGCTGGGTCTGCCCCACTTCGTGGTCGTTTTTGCATGAGCCGCCTTGGTGCTGTGCCCAGAGCAGCCCCGACCCATGTCAGCGGCCACTTGGCCCACACCCAGCGCCCTTCTCCCCCTGCCCGCTGGCCCAGCACCACGGTGGGGCCGAGCTTCCCGGGGAACCCGTCTTAGATGCGAAGCAGCCGTGCAGCCCCGGCTCCCCCCTGTGCCCTCCCCTGGCCCGCCCCGCTCCGCCCCCGGCTGCAGGCTGGAGCCGGCACATTTGGTAGCAATTAGGGCTGTGAGCCGCCTCTCTCCTGCAGCGCTCGCGGGGCCATGGGGGCGCGAAGCCCGGCCCCAGGGCGGATCATGCCCTCGGCCCACCCGGGCCAGGCGGGGATGCCCAGCGGAGAGCTCTGAGCGCGGCGCCCGGCTCGCCCGCCCTGGCCGCACAGCTGCCCCGGGGATCAGCAGCATGAAAGGTGAGGTCTGTCTGACTGCGGGGTGCTGGGGACAGGGGATGAGCCACAGAGGCCCCCAGCCTGATCCCAGAGGTGCCTGGAAAGCACAGCCCCCAGCCCCGAGCAGCCCGGGGTGAGAGGATGCCCAGAGCCCCCCGCCAGCTGCGCACGGGGGGGTCAGAGCAAGATGCTGGGTCTGGCAGAGTGACCGGGGCTGGGCGGATGGATGGACGCATTCCCAAGCACTGAGGGCAGGCAGGCTGCTCCGATTGCCCCCGAGGTCAGGTCCCCAGGGTGGCTTTCCCCCCACAGGGGCTGAGCAGGGGGATTGTGGGGTGCCCAGAGCAGCAGGTTCGGTGCCCGTGCGGCAGAGGCCAAGATGAGCTCGGTTTCTAAGCTGCTGGAGAAGCACCATGGGTAGCAAGGGGTAAATTCCCCCTGGGGTCTTTCCCAGGCTGAGCTCCACCCCAGAGCTGGCAGCATGGAGGGAAAGCTCTGATCTGAAAGCTCTCAAAGGGGCTTTTCTCCCTGGTGTGGGCTCATCCAGCTGCACACAGCTGGCACTGGCAGGTCCCCAGGAGGCGGGTGGCAGCATGGAAACACACCATCTTGGCTGGGCACAAACAACACGGCTCGGGCGGGAGCTCCGCATTGCTCCCCAAGACGGGCTGTGTGCAGCCAGACCTCTGCTGTCCCCCCACCCAGTGCTGTGCACGCCAGAGGGTAAACATTTGAGCCCCTTGGCACGGCTACGCGCATGTGCATGCATATGTGAGGTCTGCAGAGAGGGGAAGGCCAGAGCAGTTGGGCTGGGCTCTGCCTGGGCCTTTCCAGGAGGGACCTGTCGGTGCCTGGAGTTGCAGCTGGGAGTTGTTTGCAAAGCCGGTGCAATGGCTCGGGGAGAGCTGGGTAAGGGTAGACCTGGGCGTGCTGGGGTGCATCACCGCAAGGAAATCACCTCTCCGGCCAGGGGAAGCAGGCGCACAATGAAGGGATTGAGGCTGCGGCGTGTGGCAAGGAGGCGGGGAGTGGTGCTGTACACGGGACCTCCTGGCAGAGAGAGCGGTTAGAAGGGAAATGAGATGCACATCTGGAAGGTCGTGAACCCTCAGAAGGATGCGGGGACTGTGGCATCCCCCGGGGTGCCTGGCTTGAGACGGGGTGCCTGGCTTGAGACGGGCAGAAGCTTTCCCCAAAGCAGGGGCTGGTTGGAAGAGCCTGGCGCTCCTTGGTGGCCTTCAGGTCTCCAAGTCTGGCTGCAAAACCTTCCTCATGCCCACTACTGTCGTGATGCTGCCATGCTGCCTTCACTTGCACACGCGCTGTGCTTGCACCGGACTGTCTGTAGCAGGGAGGTGACATACCCTTAACTCTGACCCTCTCATTTAAAGGACAAAGCATAATCCTGCAGCTGCCAGCCAGCACCTGCACATCCGTGATGCTGGACAGAAATGGGAGGGACTGCCCAACCTCTCTCCTCCTCTCCGGCTCGCAGCGGTCTCGTGGAGAGGTTACCATGCCTGTCCAAGCCAACACGCAGGGAGAAGATGCTCATGCATGCAGATGCTTGATGTGTTTGCACATCTGTACGTGCCCCTAATTTGTTTTGCAGGGCAGAGAGGTCAGTGTAGGGCTGGGGTTTTTAATCCCACCCTATAGAAATCCCTGAGCTGACCGGGCTCCTGGCACAGGCTGGCTCCAGGGCTTGGCCCCTTGTGCAAATGGGTGCTGTGCTGGGGGAGTATTGCCCTGGCTCTGGCTGTCCTCACTGCAGTCCTTCCTCCTTAGCCGGAGCGATGGATGTCTGCACTCTGGAGCACTCTCAGCTTTGCACAGCACCTGCTGGGACCTTCATTTATGACCCAGGCTGCAAAACCATGGATGGCGTTAACGGCCGGGTTCGTCACCGCAGCCCTGTTGACTGCAGCCGGCAAACCCTGTTGGCTTTCCCCGCGGCGATTTATCCTGCCAAGCTGCCTGGAGTATCGTGTTGGGAAGCAGCGATGCAATCCTAGGCCGTGGCGTTACGGCAAACGGCTTTGATTTATAAGAGCTGTGCTGTTGAACCTCGCGGAAGCTGGCTCTGGCCAGGGCCTGGCTCTTCTACATGGCGATGCAGAGGTCCTCCAAATATACAGGGTGCAGCTGTGGCTTCTTTGCTGAACAGCTTGAGGCCTCTGCCTTTGCAGGCCTGGAGGGGCAGGGCTCTGGTCCCTTCGTCCCCTGGCACGCGGCTCAGGGGGGTAATTGCTCTTGTATCAGGGCTGGGAATCCGGGGACCGTGTCCCCCGCTTGGCCTCCTTTTACCTGTGCTTGGTCTGATGGACCTGCCCCAGGCTGCTGGGCCCCAGGCTTGTGGCTGGGTTCATGACACCAGGCAGGTCGCCCTCTCCAGTGCCATCTTCATCAGCCTTATCCCATCCCCTGTAGCCTGGTAGCATGAAAGAAAAAACCCATTTTGGTGCAAAATTCTCCCCCCAGCTCCCAAGCGCCTGGACATTTTAATGCATTCCCAGATGGAGAGCCAGGGAGGGAAAGCAGCACCGAGAAGGCACCCAAAGCCACGAACTGGGAGACAGTGGGGCTGGGTCACTTCCCACCTCTGCTACTGACTTTGCCCCATGGCCTTGGTCATGTCTTTCCCCCGCCTCTTCCACCCCTTCCTTCCTTTCTCCCTTTGTAAAATAGTGGCAGTGACGCTGGCTCAAAGGCTGGGAGCTTGGACGGTTGTGAGAGCCTGGGAAGGGATCATAACAACCATCTCATTAGACTCATCCGAGTCAGGACAGAGAATGTCACTACCAAACCTCCCATTATGGCTGGGAGCAGGGGGATGAAGGCAGCGGTGAGCCCCGGTGCAAAGAAAGGCTGAGAGGGGAAAGGGTTGCTGCTGATACGGGAAGGAGAAGAGCTTGGGACAACGTTGGAGCAGGATCAGGCCGGTGGCAAACCCAGTTTTGCTGGAAGTGAGACGGTATCTACCCACTAGAGCAGCGGAGTTGCGGGTGGGGTTGTCAGAGTTGAGGAGCTGGGGTCGGAGAGGACGGGCCTGTTCCTGCTGTACTTGGAGAAGGGCTTGCTGTTTGGTGGGGGGAAAGGAAACCCGATCTCCGCCTGGATGCCTGGCACACGTGGGAGGCATTTGGGCGTCCCCTGTCAGGGTTTTGCTGGCTGCGTGCTGGGGCCTGGCGAGAACCTCGTTCCCCCTTGAAGGCATTATTTGGCTTGCGGGCGGTGGCTTTTCTCTTGCTGTGGGATTTCTAGGCTTTCTACGGAGGAGGGCTGTCCAACTGGCAGCTCACAGGCTGCGTCAGCCTGCGAGGGGTTAAAGTGGGGGTTGTTCCCCCCCCTAGCAATAGTAGCTGGAGCCCCTTCATCCTACGACTGCTGCTTCCTGTCTTTGCCCCCAGGCTTGGGGCAACACGGGGAGCTGAGGGGGAGTCCGGGCTGCACAGGGTGTTGGGGATTGGGGCCGTCATGGAGGGAGATTGTGCCTGCATGGGTCAGAGGGGGGTGCCCACACAATGGGGCAGCGCTCGGGCTTAGACCCAGTGGGCAGAGCACTCCAACCCTGCTCAGGGCCCAAATCACTGGAGACCCCCTCATTTCTCTTGCTGGGCATGCAGCAGCGTTCCTTGCCCACCTTGCACACAGCTTTGCTTGGGACCACTGGCTGGGATAGCGAAGGGAAAAGCTAGGGAAAGCCTCCTTTATGTGTCCAGGGTGGGTTAAAGACCCCCTCGGCCTGCACAAGAGGGGATGGGTGTCTTGTCCCGGCTGCCTCGAAGTCCCAGAGAGAGAGGGTGCAGCAGCTGGGACAGCTGTGCTCGCGGCTGCAAGCTCCAGCCCCGTGCTAGGGAGCGGTGAGGACGGCGTCACCCAAGAATCGGACTTTCCATCCCACCCACGACATCAGCCGGACTTTCTCGGCATTGCAATGTTTTTAAGAGCTAACTCAGGATTTAGTCCCAAGAGCATGTACAGTCCTTAAAAAAATTAAAAATCCTGCCTAGAAATTAGGGTTTTTCCCCTCCCTTTTAGCACGTCTACTTGTTGCAAAGCTCCCCTGGTTTGAGCTTGATGCTTCAGTGAAAGACGAGGGCCTGCCCTGGCACCTCACCTGGGCACAGCTGGAGAATTCAGTTTGCTTAAAAAAAAAAAAAAATAGTCCCGCCCCCCCCATCCCCCCTAGCTCCAATGAAAAGCAACGTATAATAAACGGCTTCTTCCTGATTGGCTGGATCCAGGCTTTGGAAGCAGAATCAGCCACTCAGTATAAAGCTGCCTTCAGTGTTGACCCTGCTACAGGTGCAAATGAAAGCTGGATAGAAATTAGCTATAAAGTTGCTACACATTGTCAAGCACTAACTGTATAGCTGGTTGGCTCTTTTTATAGCTGGGGAGGCGTTTTTATCATGTGAGCGTTACTTTGCACGTGTAACTGGTCTCAATTGTGCGATTCACCATTATCATTGTGTGATAATTATTTTGCACTTGTGTCCGGTCTGTTTTTGCACGTGTAGCCTGTTTGCATTTATTGCGCCATTCACCAGTTAACTGTGTGATATATGTAACATGTAGCAGGGGCCCGGCGTAGATTTGGGGCTCTATGGGTTTCTTTTGATAGCCCTTGCTCTACTACTTTTATGCCCCAAGCAGAAATAAGCAGTCGTACAGCTCAGAAGCTCTACAGCTCAAGATCTGTGTAGGAGGTTCGAGTCACAGGGCAGCTGTGTGCCCACTGGTGGCTGTGTGACTCGTGCTCGGCTCTGTATCTTTATTGACCTCCGTTATTTACTCGCCTGCCATGCCTTCTTGTTATTTGAGGTTAAGTAAGGGAGGCTAAGTCCAATCAATTCCTCAGTGGGTCCCTCCCAGACCCCACTAATCTCAATCCAGTCCTTATGCTAAAATAGGCCATTTTAGCCTGGCAGTGCCCCTTCAGGGCACCTACAGCCTTGCGGGCAAATCGCATGGCTCCGTTCCTTCCCTACACCATGCCCCAAGCCTTGCTGGTGTTAGAGGCAGAGCTGGTGTTAGCAGCTCAGATATTAGCTTCTCTAAGCCCCTCTCAGGACTGTCAGACCATCTTCTGCTCTCTTTTTCCAGGTCCTCAAACCCCTAGCCCCACACACCGTCCTGCTTGGAGTCTGCAGGCCCTTTAATCCCCCTTCTCCCTGGTCGGCGGATCCTTTGATGGGTTTCCTGGTTCAGTCCCTCCTCCAGACTGGGAAATGCTCTGTACCCCACCCCAAACCCTCCACTGGGCTGGTGGGCTCTGTTCCCTTGTTCAGCCCTTCCTCTGAACTGGGCACCCTGCTGTGCCCACTCAGCCCCCTTATCTCTGGGGCTGGTGGGGTCTATTCCCTTGCCCTTTATAGCCCCACTAAGCCCCAGCCTGGCCTTCGTGGGGTTAAATAAGCCTACAATCAGCCTCCTGGAAGCTGCCTCCCGGGCAAGCACACCACAGTGCCTTGCTACAAACTTCTAGGGATATCTTACCCAAATTCGGAAACTAATTTCTAGGAGTCTTCATTACCTCTGCAGATGGGACCGCAGCAGAGGATGCCAGAAGAACGTGTCTCAGAGCATTGAACCCCTTTTTACCCCCCTCCTCTAACAAAGGCTTGCAGCATGACTTGATAGATGTGGTTAGAAAGGAGGTGCTCTCACGTCACCCTGCTGGGCAGCTAGAACGCACTGACCTGACCCCTAAATCCAGATGTGATGCCTGGTCTTTTCAAGAAGTTCCTCTGGACAGTGACTCGGGTCCTTTCACGCTACTTCCCTTAGCTTCACCGATGCCGGCGTGGCCTGATTTAAAGTTAACGGCAGCTAAAGCAGCTAGATCTTCACCGCTGGAGGCTGCAAGGGAGAGAAGAACAGGGGGAAAACCCAGGTCACCCTCCCATCCAGACTCCACTCTCTGCCCACGTGACACAGGAGATGGGCCTGGGGTCTGACCCAGTACATGGGAATTCTTATGCAAAAGCCTGCGATCGCTATGGGAGTGCACGCTATGAGGATTGTAGATCCGCACGAAGCTGTACGCCGGGCTGCTGGCATGTTGGGTTTTGTCTGGGGGGTTTGTCTGGCGCTGGATCTTGAAGCATGGGGGTGGGTATTTGTTGGGTCTGGTGAGCTGGGTGATTCCCACCTGCTCTGGGCTTGCTGAGGGCTTTGCAGCAAGAGAATTGCTCTAGGATTTTTTCCATAGTCCAGAAACAAGTGACAGCTCAGAGTCAGCATTTTCAGCCCTGAGGGTGAAAAGCGTGAGACCCACTGGATCAGAGCAGGTGTTTCTGAACTCTGCGGGCACTAGGATGGATGCAATAAGTCGGTGTTTGTGCTCAGTCCTGTTTTGCTGGACGAGAGATCTTACTAACTCAGCATGAAATTCCCCTCGTGCAGAGCTGAGCAAGCCCAGAGCATGTCAGCTCCGTGGGGCCCCTGGGACCTGTGCCGTGTTGGAACGAAAGCATGCGGCACAGACATAATCCCTGACTCGTGGGGGGCACAGCCGCGTACGGGACACGTTCCCTATGGGATTGAATAACCCCCACTTCTGGGTGACGTCCCAGGCGTGCTCGGAGAGCCAGGCATCCATGGACCAGAGCAGCACTCCATCGCCGGCTCATCAGAAAAGCCCAAGGCAAGAAGCAGCCCCAAGACTCGCTGTCTCCAGTCTCCGCAGGACTGCGGCTGAATAAGCCCTTTCCTTTCTGCTCAAACACACCAGCCAAAATGCTGCTGCATCCCGGCTTCCCCCACCAGGTAGGAGACCAAGCCGGCTTCCGCCTCCTCGGACCCAGAGCCATTCCTCAAGGGACTAAGTCTAACGAAGGCCGGTTGTTAATGGCTGCGAATGGATGGAGATATGCTGCATATACCATGTCAGGGGAGGCTAGAAGCAAGCAAGGCCCTTTATTTTCACCCTTCCTTTCTCCCTATCCCATGACTGAGCTCGTGCAACTGGGGCCGGAGAGCTCGCTCTCTCCGGGGCCCAGCTCACAACTTGCAGGTGGGGCTGGGGGCATCCAAAAGGGAGTGAGAGGAATCTCCAAGGTGTCCAGATCCTGGGCATGCCGAAAGCTTGTGAGATTTCAGCATTGTCCCATCCAGACCCGAGGAAACAGGTGCCGGGTTCAAGAAGGCAGCAGGGATGTGCGTTTCAACAGAGAGCAGCAGGATGGTGGAGCCAGACGCCCAGGGAGCGGTGCAGTCTCCATCCCTGGGGCTCCCTGGGCAGTATCTGGGTGGGGTGGGCTCCACTCCAGAAGGACCACACGGTGCAACCGGCCGGGCTTCGCGCGTCCCACACCATCCACCCTGGGGGAGATGCTGTTCTTGGCTGGAGGGAAGCCTGACATGGTTTAGATCAGAGGCAGGGTGGGAACGGGAGGGCAGGAGGGGCGGCTTTCCTCTCCAGGGGCTGCCCACTAAGTGTGGCAGGGAGCTGCTGCCATCTGGGCCAAGCTGGGTGGTCCGTGCCTGGCTGCCTGCGGGCTGGGGAGCGTGCAGCTCCCTCCACACCCCAGGCATGTGTTTGTAGAGACACTGATCCTTTAACCCCATGGGGGAGCTCCCCAAACTGGGGGTCTTTCCCATTGACAGCACAGCAGAGGCCAGGGCAGGCTCTGGGGAGATGCAATTGCATGCTCAAGGGTGTTAGGAAGCTAAGATTTTGCAGAAGTATCATCCCACAGGACACAACACACATGATTCTCCAGAAAAAAATTAAAATTGCAAGCTTTACCAATAAGCTCAGGGCCTAGGGCTGTATGACTCAGGTCCAGATGGAAGCAAAAATAAATAGGAACCTTATTGGCACGTGCGCTCGGTTGCTGTGTCATCTCTTACATATACAACACAGCAAACTAAGCACAAAAGAAAGCAGCAAGAGATGGTCCTTTGGGTCTGGCACCACTTGCATGAGACTGGAAGTCTCTTTTAGATCTGTGAAACACAACCAAGGCTTCTCAACAGGCACCCAGCGCTTCACGAGAAGTTAGCTGCACCCCTGAGTCCGTGTTCCCCGGAGTTAATGCTTCCCCTCCACCGCCGCCGACTTTAAGTTTTTTAGCTGGAATGAAAACCAGGCTGCGGGGCTGTGAAATGGGAGCTGCGGTAAGAGGGGCAGTGAACAGACAGCAGCACTTCAGGAGAGAGGCCAGCTCGATGAGCAGAAGATCAAGAGGGTTAAAAACACAGGAGAGAGGGGCATTAACACCTGTGGAGTGAAGAGTTTAGCAGGAAGTGGGGAGAGGGTAACGAGCCAAGAAGTCAGTGACTCTTGCTGCTGCCTGAGTAGAAATGCCACTGCCGCTGCTGGCAGTTGGTGTGGAGCAGGGATGGCACCCTCCTGGATCCACCTCTGAGTGCCAGGGACCGGACAGGATTGTGCCCCCTCCCCACACGCGGCCTCAGGACCTGCTGCACTGGCTGCACACACAAGACCAGCTCCTCCAGCCGCAGCCCAGCCTCAGGCAAACGGGTCCTGTGGCCGATGGGGGAGCGAGTGCTGCAGCCATAAGGCATGGACTGGCCTGGCGTGGCCACAGATCCATGGGGTCCCCCCCGGGGTGTGGGGAGAGAGTGCTGAGGCACCCCTTTGTCTTGCAGAGGACGACCTCGCTGGCGAGGAGGAGGAGATGCCGTCCTTCCACTACCGGCCCAACGGTGAGGGTTGGGGTGGCTCGGTGGAGGTGGCCTGGCCCTCGCGGCTGCTCCCTCGCACCTGGGGCCGTGGGTTTCTGGAGGGGGCTGGGGAGGTGGGGTGCTGGCTGGGGACAGGGGGGGAATCCAGGGCTGCCAGTCTTAGGGGACGGGTGTGGGGCTGATGCCCAAGCCCCAGTGACGGTGTTATGGCCCTGCCCTGGCTTTGCTGCCGTCTGCGCCCGGTCGGGTCCAGCCAGGGTGGTGACGGGACGATGCTGGGAGCTGTCTGGACCCTCAGGGAGATGGGGCCTGACACTCGCTTCCTGACGCGCCCCCGTCTAGGCCGAGCGAGGTCAGGTTGCAGCCAGTGCCAGAAGAACCTGTCGCTCCAGACCTCGGTCAAGGTGCTGTACACCTTCTTCGTCCTCCTCGTCATCGCCGTGACGGTGTTGGCATCCCTGGGTGAGTCGGAGCGCCCCTGCCTCGGGAGTGGGGGTTCCCTTGCTGCTTCCTCTGGAAAACTGAGGCACTGCAAGGGAAGGGGTTTGCCCAGGGGCATATGGTTAGTCTGTGGCAGAGGCATGGATAGGACCCCGGCCTGCTGACTCCAGGACCCAGGCTTGCCAGCCTCTGCTGCACACCACTGAGCAATAGTACTGTGGGTCATGGGCCCTATATTGCAGACGGTGATTCCCCTCCTGTGCAAGAGATGTGCAAGAGGGCACATCTAGTCCACCCCCTGCTTAAAGCAGGATCGCCCCAACTACATCATCCCAGCCCAGGCTTTGTCTACCCGGGTCTCTAAGGATGGAGACTCCACCACCTCTCTGGGCAGCCTGTCCCAGGGCTTCACCACCCTCCTCGTGAGAAAATTTTTCCTAATATCCACCCGCAACTTCCCTTGCTGCACCTTGGGCCCATTGCTCCTAAAAAAGCTAGCCTCAGCACCCTGAAGGAGACCCCCATCGGGACCCCCAAAGCTATGCCAGGATGCTGCGCTCCACCCCCACCCACGCCCACCCTGCAGGAAAGGGGCTGCTCCCAGCCTGGCTGGGATCCCCGCCTGCCCCGCGATGGGGGTCGGTGGGCGGTGGGAGCGAGGCACTGTCGTTCCAGCCCTTGGCTGCTGCTCCGGCTGTTTATTATTCCATGAAAATTGCCTCTCTCGTCAGGCTTGGACGGCCGCAGCCCCACCGCAGAGAGAGGCAGTGGATTGCTGCTCTGGGCAGGGCCCGGGTATTGCATGACACAGAAGCTCAGAAGCCCCCGGGGAGGGAGGTGGGGGGATCCCACCAGGTCCTACAGAGCCGTCCCGCTCCCCTGCACCCACTAAGGTCCCTAGCAGGGCAAGCCAGGCCTCTCGCCCACTGCTTCCGCTTGCTCCCAGCCGGGAAGAGGCGGCTCCAGCGCCTTGGCCTCTCGCCCATCCTCCTTGGCATCTGTTCGACGCAGGATGCAGATCCCTGGCCATGTTCACTGCCTGCAAACTGGTCAGGGGAGGAAGCCGGGGGACGGGGATGGGAGGTTTCCAGGTCCAATGGGATCTGGGTCCCAACCCTCAGGAGCGACTGCTACCCTGGCCACGCGGCCGGAGTGCTGTCCTGCTGATCGCGGCACCGCCGGAGAGCAGCAGCGGGACAAGGCAGGGTGACTTGAGGCTCTGAGCCCTGCCGCCAGTGATCCGGGGGACAAGTCCTGATTGGCACTGGAACAGAGCATTGTGGGATGCTGGAGGGCTGAGCACCACCCCACAACACCCAGTCACCGGACACCTTATGTGTGGCTCTACCAGGCACTTGCTTGTTTGCTCCAAGACTGTTTCCATCCATCCATGGCTTGTGCCTTGTGAGTCCCTGTCTGTTCGCGGGGGTCCTCACCCAGCCCTGTTGGCTGCAGGCTCTGGGGATGGGGCAGCGCTGGCATCGCCATCCCCCGTGTAGGCACGGGGCAGCCGCCGGGCATCTGGGCTCAGGTGTCCTCCCTGCTTCCTGCTCATACACATCCCCACACACAGGCTTGAACCCGCGTCTTCTCCACCGCACCCATACCACGAGCCTCTCTGAGCATCCCCAACCTCCGTCCCAGTCCTTAGCTGGGGGACATGATTTCCTGCAGTGAGTCGGTGGCAGAGGCCCTGGGAAGGTAAGCGTATGCACCAGTTAGATGCCCCCAGGACCAGGCAGGATGAGAGAGTAATAGCTGTTGTAGGACGAAGGGCTTAGCCGGGGTCTTCGACTACACCTTGACTACAGCCCCCGCCGCCGGCCCTGACATGTCTCTTCTCCGCAGTCTTCAGGAGGGTGGACTCCATGTCCGACAACATCAGCTCCGCCCAGGCCCACTACGAGAGGAAGATCCTGTCTGTCCAGCAGGGCCTCCAGGACCTCGGTGAGTGTGCGAGCCCCAGCTGGCGTCACCCCGCTCCCGTCCTCAGTGCCAGGTGGTGACCCCGCTGTGGCTGCCAGCAGGCCTCAGGGCTCAGGGGGTCTTGGGATGTCCCTTCTCCGTGCAGGGGAGCTGAGGATGGTTTGTCTGGGACGGTTTGCACAGGGCAGGGGGCTGGATTAGATGTGACCTCCACCGGTCCCTTCCACTGCTCTAGGATGATGTGACTCGCCCAAGGCTGCAGGGAGAGTCAGTGTCAGAGCCAGAGCCAAGGGCTGATCCTGCTTCAAGCAGGGGTTGGACTAGATGGGACCTCTGCAGCTCCCCCCCAGCCCCACTTCTCTAGGGCTCAGTGCTAACAGAGCCGTCTGTCCTCGCTGCAGATCAGCGGTCCGTGGGGAACTGCTCCTCGTGCCGCGAGACCGGGCAGCTGGGCCAGGACATCAGCAAGCTGCAGGCGGAGCTGGAGGAGATCCAGAAGATGCTCCTGGTCCAGGAGATCCTGCTGGACCGGACCTCCCAGACCCACCAGCTGCTCACGGCCGCCGGCAACAAGCTCACGGGAGAAGCGGACGCCTGCTCCTTCTCCATCCGCCAGGTCAACCAGAGCCTGGCGCAGCTGCTGGCCCAGGTGCGCGGCTGGCAGGCGGCGACGGCCGAGCTGGACGGGTCCCTGAAGGGGCTGGCGCAGGAGCGCTACGACGTGCGGGCGGCCCTGCAGCAGGTGAACTTCACCCTGGGGCAGAGCTGGGAGCGGATCCGCCTCATGCAGCGCAAGGCGGACGAGGAGACGCTGACGCTGCAGAAGATCGTGACCGAGTGGCAGAACTACACGCGGCTCTTCGGGGGCCTGCGGGCCGCCTCGGCCAAGACGGGCGAGCTGGTCCGGAGCCTGCAGAGCGGGCTGGGCGCGGCGGCGCAGAGGATCGGGCAGAACGCCGAGAGCCTGCACGACCTGGTGCTGCAGGTCATGGGGCTGCAGCTGCAGCTGGACAACGTCTCGTCCGCCCTGGACGAGCACGGGGAGAACGCCAACGACTTGCAGTACCACGCGCGGCACGCGGAGAACCGCACGGACGAGCGCTTCGCCACGCTGGAGGGGCGCATGGCCTCCCACGAGGTGGAGATCGCCACCATCTTCGCCAACATCAACGCCACCGACAGCCACGTGCACAGCATGCTCAAGTACCTGGACGACGTGCGGCTGTCCTGCACGCTGGGCTTCCACGCGCATGCCGAGGAGCTCGGCTACCTCAACCGGACCGTCGCCCGTGTGCTGGTCACCACCGACCTGCTGCGGGAGCGCTTCGGCCTGCTCAGCGCCCGGCTGGACTTCGACGTCCGCAACCTGTCCATGGTCATGGAGGAGATGAAGGTGGTGGACGCCCGGCACGGGGAGATGCTCCAGAACGTCACCATTTTGAGAGGTGAGGATGGCCGGGCGCTGGCCGGCACGGGCTTGAACCCGGTCCCCAGTGTGCTGGGGGCGTGAGGAGCCCCTGGGTGGGCCCAGTTTGCTGGGGCAGGCTGCAAATCTCCCACGTGGGGACTTGGACTGCGGGAGTGAGTGAGTGTGTGTGCATGCGTGCGCCTGCATATGTGTGCATGCAAACGTGTGCACCCAAGCATGTGTGCGCATGCATTCATGCATGTGTGCGCATCTGCATTCATGCATGTGCGCCTGCATTTGTGCACCTGCATTCGTGCGAGCACACGTGTGCATGTATGTGCCTGCATGCATGTCCACGTGTGCAGGGATGTGCGTGCACATGGATGTGTGTAGGCATGCGTGTGTGCACATATATGTGTGTGCATGCGCATCCGGAAGCCCAGATGGGGAAACTGAGGCAGAAGGTGGCTAACCCAGAGGGACAGCCCGGCTGTGCTGCAGGCCTTGCACGGAGGTGCTGGGGCTCAGGGGGGTTTCTCCAGCTATCCGCTCTGCTGCTCAACTCTCAGACTTCAGCAGCAATGACCGGGGCCTGCTTGCCAGAGGCCTGGGGCTTGTGGGGGAAAAGGCGCCCCAAGCCCCTTGCTGGAGGGCGCTCTGTGCCAGGGCATCCACATTGCAGTTGACATCGCACGCAGGAGCCAGCAGCGCGGTGTCCCCTCCGTGCCTAATGCCCCGAGCACCCCCGTGCTGCTACAGGACGGGCTGTGATCGGGGCAGGGGGGCAGCAAGGGGGAGTCTGCCTGGTCTGGGGCTACGGGAGCCTGTCACTCCGGGTCTCAACCCGGTGGACTCACACTCACCATGTACCTCCCTGCAGCCCGGGCTTTGCCCCGTGCTCCAGGCTGGCCCGAGCCTGGGCAGAGTCCACCGGGGAGGGCGACGCGATGCCCTGCCAGAGCAGCACGGAACAAAGCACCGGGCCTGGAAACGCGAGCCCAGACGAGCCGGCTCCCTGCTCCCCCAAGGCCACAATTATCCGGGTGAGCAGGAGTCTGAGGCAGCTGCAGACCACCCAGCCGCGGGGCCCGGAGACACGGCCCAGCCTCAGCCGCATCATTACCGGCTTGGCCGCGGCATGGCTGTCATTACCGGGCTGCCTCTGGCTCGGGCTGTTTCCTGTCCCCGCGCTCACTGGGGCTTGCCAGGACTTTCGTGGGCCCTGGCTTCAGCTCCACAGACAAGCTGGGGACGTCCCCCGCCGGCAGCATGCCCACGGGAGCCGGTCCCAGGGTGGCTGATGGAGAGGACCTAACATGGAGGAGGGCAGACATCTATCCAGCCCTGGCTTTTCTTCTTACAATAACCCCGGCAGCCTGGACAGACCCACCCCCTGGGGAAGCCCACCCAGCTGTGCAGCTAGCTCAGCGGGCACTGTTTCCCTGCCTTGCTCCTCTCCTGGGGGTAGACGGCCCCGAGGAAAATGGCTCTTCCATCCTCTCCCACGCTTCTGCCAGGCACCCTGAAGGGGTCCAGTGCATGCTGCCTTTGCAGGTTAACAACCTGCTCCTGCTGCAGGGTTTTCCCCCCAAAACCAGGTCTGGGAAAGCCAGGCCCGAGGTATGACGGTCGCTGCTCCGAGATGCAGCCAGTTCTGGGGTGGAGCAGCACTGCTGGGAGGCAGCTTACAGCCAGGAAAGCTGCTGGTGGAGAGACCGGGAGAGAGATACCCACTCCAAGCTCATGGTTACATCCCACCTGCTGGATGCTACGTCCAGCCGGGACCGGAGACCTCGAGCTACGTACAGCTTCCCTATGCTCCAGACCCCTCGGCCTGCCAGGCTGCAAGGGTCTTGAGGATATTGGGTCCATCCCGGCATAGCGGCAGGGCTGCAGCTTCATCGCTGTCGGGGGCAGCAGGTAATGGTGTGACCCAGAGTAGCAGCCCATCCCCTGTGCTGCAGCACTGGGGGATCAAAGCCCCCTCGCTCCCCCCTTCCAGCACGGACGCGGCGGGTTGTTATTCTGTCCTGCGCGCGTTCCCGGTCATGGAAAAACCGAGCAATGCCCCGCAAGCCGGGGACCTGGCTGCTCCAGGCTTGGCGGGGGGAGAGCCCTGCTGCAGACAGCACCGTCTGGGTGCCCCCTGCACCTCCGGCCTGGCCGCGTGAGTCAACACATGACGGCATCTCTCCGAAAGCTGGGCAGGGTAAACAGGAGGCGGCTGGCAGGCCCCCAGCACCTGGATTTTTTCCCTGGCTGCTGCAGGGGAGATTCAGAGCCGCTCGCAAACGCCCGGCGGCTGAGCCGAGGCTGGAGGACGGGTGGCTGCAGGTTTTCCTCGCCCTCCTTCTCCTCCACATTTGCTCACTGCCCCCAGCGGCAGCTCGGCCGTTCAGCTGGCCGGCCCCTCGGGTGCTAGGCGCTGTACGAGTGACCCACGCGGGCTAGGGAGAGGGCAGGGGGCAGAGGGGAGAATATCAGCGCCGTGGGCCTGGCTGCAGTCAGCGAGATGCTATTTAAACTCGGTGGAGGTTGAGGCCTCGCGTGGGTCTCTGGGGCAATAGGAGCGGGTCCAGCCGGGGATGCCCGGTGCCTGCATCCCGTTGCCACGGCGATCGTCCCCCTGGTGCCGCGGGCTGCTGATGCTCTGCCTCTCCCCCTTCCTCCCTTCCAGGTGTGCCTGGCATGCCGGGACCTCGAGGGATCAAAGGCGATGCGGGCGCCAGGGGACCTGGGGGCGGCCGAGGCCAGAAGGGCGACGCCGGCAGCTTGGGCGACCCCGGCCCGCAGGGATCCCACGGCCCCCCGGGCGTACCGGGGCCTGCGGGCGAGAGGGGCCCCGTCGGCTCCAGAGGCCGCTCCGGCCCCAAAGGGACGAAAGGCGGCTACGGCCAGCCTGGGCCCAAGGGACAGGCGGGCCCGAAGGGCGACGTGGGGCCCCGGGGTCCAGACGGGGCCGCCGGGCCGGTGGGGCCTGTGGGGCTGCAAGGAAAGCCGGGGATGCCGGGGAAACCCGGGGCACCGGGTCCCATCGGGCCTATGGGACCCAAGGGGGACCCCGGCCTGCAGGGAGAGCCTGGCCTGACCGGTCCCCCTGGCCCCCCAGGCCACTAAGCCAGTTGCAAGCCCCTGAGCTGTCCTCCCCCTGCCCCTTGGAGAAGACCCACAGCAGGCGCCTGGGAGAGGTCCCGCCGGCCCCGACCAGCCTCCCAGCACCCCCATTGCCTCCCAGAGCTGGGGGTGGCACCTGTCCAGGGCTGCGACGGGGCGGGGGGGTTGGCACGGCCCCCCGAGCCCATGCGTCGGTGGGGGATCCCTGGGCAGAGCCCCGAGACCCCGACTGGCGCGCTGCTCCCGGCATGACGGGCACGGGCCCCGCGGGGCTCCCCCGACCCAAGGAGCCGTGTCGCGGTGTGTGCACGGCACGGTGCAGCTGGTTTGCCCCCCGCCCCCCGCCACGCTCCCCGCTAGCCGCGGGCCATGTAACGGCCCTGTATTCACGAGCAATAAAGGTGTATGGGGACCCCCAGCTTCCTCGTCTGTGTGCGGGGCCTGGCCCGGCATATGGCTCAGCCAATGGGGGAGGGCGGCGCAGGGGTTCGGGGGGCCTGAGACCGGGGCTGGGCAGCTCCCATGCCCCGACCCCCCAGGAAGTGTCCGGGGGGCTCGCACCGGGGTCCCCAGCGGGAGGGAAGTGTGCAGAATGCAGAGGGTTGTCAGACACCCCCGCGGGCTGTGCGTGCACACACACACATGCACACTCCACCTCTCAGTGTGCACACACAGTCCATCTCCCCAGTGCTGCATGCACACACACAGATGCTGTACACACTCCACACCCCATTGTATGTGCACACACACACACTCCACATCCTCAGTGCTGCGCGCGCGCGCGCACACACACACACACACACACACAGAGGCAGTGCACATTCCACATCCTAGTGCCATGCACACACACACACTCACACCTGAGTGTTGTGCACAGACACACACACACTCTCCACATCTCCAGTGCTGCACATGCATGCACACAAACACACCGCACCCCCAGTTCTGCACACACACACGAGTGCTGTATACATGCACACATACACATTCCACATCCTAGTGTCATGCATGCACACACACTCTGCACCCCAGTGTTTTGCACACACACACACACCACAACCCAATGCTGCGCACACACACATTCCACACCCGTGTTGTGTGCACACATACACACACTCACCTCCGATGCTGCACACACACACACACACACACTGCACATCCCCAGTGTTGTGTACACACACACGCACACAGCCCCGGTGCTGAGCGCTCTGCCCAAAGGATCTTTCCCCCCTCGGGAACAGAGACAGCCCCGCAACCCAAAGCGGATGCTGCAGGGACGTGGCCGCCCGTGGCTCCAGCTGCTGCCAGCACCAGCTCCCTGCACACCCACAGCCGGCCACAACCAGGGCCCCGCTGGGCACGAGGCAGCGGGAGCAGCCTGGAGAGACTCCAGACAACGGGGTGCAATGGGGGAGCAGAAGGGGGACAGCAGGATCTACCCCCTTGCTCTACCAATGGGGAAACTGAGGCACAGAGCAGCCGCAGGACTGGCTCAGCGCTGGGGGAGGGAAGCCGGGTGCCTCCAGCCCCATCCAGACCTCTTGGCAGTATGAAGATCGGGTGTTTCAAGGGGTGGCCTCCCCTTTGTCTCCAGGGGAAGCTCCCCATAGAGGGGTACTGCAGTGGAGAGAGGCAGCGGCTGGTGGGACTCTGCTCCATAGCAGTCATGACACAGTGATGGTAGTGTGACCTAGTGTAGACAGTGCTCCGCCGCGCTGGTTTGGGCTGCTCAGGGGTCTCTCCAGGCTGCTATGCTGGTGCCAGCTGCCCTGCTGGAGTGAGGCTAAGGGACACGCCCAGGATCTCATAGGTAGTCGGTGGCAGAGCCCAGCACCGACTTCCCATCCCCCAAACCTCCTGATGTGCCCTCCACCCCGAGCCGACCTCCCTGGCGTGAGGGGATCTCTGCTGTTGGAGGCAAAGGGGGACTCACCCCATGCAGGCCCTAAGTGTAGCCTAGCAGCGGCAATGATGAGGGAGTAGTGTAGACAAGGCACCGGCACTGTGACCACCTACCCCGTCGGAGCTGGCAGTGAGAGCCTGGCGATGCCACGTCAGAGGCCTGAGTTTGACTCCCGCCCCCCTCCGGCTCTACTCCTGCCCTGCTGTGTGACTCTGGGGCATCAAGTCCCCACCCCGCGCCTCAGTTTCCCCATCTGTGAAATGGGGAGTGAGCCTCACTCTGTGATCCGCCCACGGGACGGGCTGTCTGGAGGGGCTCGCCGCCTTGCCCTGCTCAGAGGTCGGGACCCCAGTGCTGGAGGGGGCACGGGGGCCGTCCCAGCCCGTGCCCCAGCCGCGAGCGCGGAGCTGCAGAGCACCGCGGCTGCACACGGGTCCGGCGGGTGGGGGTTGTTTTCCTCCCGGCCCTGAGAGCTTGAGCAGATGGTGTCTGCTGGCCGCGGGCCCACGGCTCCACACTGACTTCACACATGTACCGGGTCTCCCTGGCGCGGGGCAGGCCGAGGCCGCCGGGGCCAAGAGCAACACGGGCCAGGGGAAAACACACCTCAGACCCAGCCCGGCCTGCTGCTCCCAGGGCCCCACTTAGTCGAGCGGATGGGGAGTCCAGCCCTGCAGGAGGGTGCTAGGACACCTGGCTTTCAGTGCCTCAGTTTCCCCTGGGATAAATGATAGCTGAGGGATAGGGCACGGGGCTGGGTTTGTGCTTGGAAGAGAGCAAAGCAGTGCTGCCAGCCCCGTGTGCCCTGTGCGTGGTGGTGGGGGGCCGAACGTGACCCCGTTGAGCTGAGCTTGTCCCAGCGGGGGCTGCCAGGGGCCCGTGCCAGGCTCCGTGACGCTGGCAGGTTGCAGCCAGAGCCCTTTCCAAAACACAAGGCAGCAGGAAAACATGTTGTTCTGCTCACGGGGAGAAGCTGGAGACCTCCTTTTGGGCTGGACATCCTTGCAGGGAGGAGGAAATCAGCCCGTATCCAGCCCAAGGAGAAACCGGGGTGGGGGGAAAGCCAAGGCCGACATAAATGACATTGTCCAGCCCTGGGGAGGCATCTGCCTACACCCCTTCCTCCCCCTGCCCAGGGGTGATGGATGTGGTGCAAGCCCCCCGGCTCCTCACAGGGCCGGAGGTCCAACAGCCTGGGGATGTTGCTGTGTCTCTTCCAGGAGAAGGAGCCATGTCCCTCCAGCTGCCCACGGTGCAGCGTATGGCTGTGCCAAGGCTCCTGCTGGGACCAAACCCGGAGGGTCCTGGCTGGAAGGTCTTGCCCCTGCGCTCAGGGTCAGACCCATGCTGCAATGGGGGCAAGAAGGGATTTCCCCCCTGGTCAGACTGGTGCAGACTGGGATGGGGGGAGGCTGGCAAGGACATCCCTGGGCATCACAGCTGCAGCGCCAGGGCTGTCCTTCCCATATGACAGCAGGGTTTTGCAGGGCTGGTTGCAACTCAGCGTCCCCAGGCTTTCCACGCAAGGCAGCTGTGGCCATGCCCCTAGATGGGGTGGGGGGGAGGCATGCTCTCTTTCCTCCAGGCCCCTCTGCACCCCCCATGCCAGGATCCGTGCTCCACCAGCCCCTCTCATCTGCACCTCCCAGCCCCACAACCCTCCTCTTCTGCAGACCCCACCCCACCATCCCTGCCCTGGACCCTCCCTGCAGAGCGAGAGGCAATGCAATACCAGCTGCAAAGCCCAGCTGCCCCCACCCTCATGTCACAGCTCCCTGCACCCCCCCTTGGTTTGTCCCAGTCAAGCCCCCGCCAGCATCAAGCAGTCCCGGCAGGTGTGGGGAGAGCCTGCTGGCTCTGCTGGCTGCCAGGGTCCCACGTGCAAGAGCCCGCCTCAGCCCTGCTTGGGATTGCACCCGATTTGGGAGGGGAAGGGGTGCAGGACAGGTTTGCAAAGGCTTGAGGGTGAGGGTGAGGGACACTTGGGCTCTCTGCTTGGCTCTGCCATGAGCATGCCCTGGCCAGGTGCTGGGGCCAGGCCTGGGGGAGGGTATGTGAGATCCTGGCTGCCCCGGTGAGACTGAGGGTGAATACCCGCTCCGAGGGCATTGAGCAGCTGTTGCAAGTGCTTAAGTCAGTGGGAGCATCGGGCAACACAGATACAAACTGCCAGCGCCAGAGGCCATTTCCATGCATCCATGCCTCAGTTTCCCCAGGGAGCAGGGAGGCACCTTCCCTTGTCTCTCAGGGCTGGGTGGGCTTGGTTATGTCCATGTGCTTCCTACCAAAGGCAAGGAAGGTCAAGGTCACTGTCCCTGTGGTTTGGACAGGGCTGATCCTGCCTCAGGCAAGGGGTTGGACTAGCCGTGACCTCTGGAGCTCCCTGCAAGCCCTGCTCCTCCAGGGTTTCTATGATTTCTATGATCAGGGAAGCTACCGTCATTGCAAATACCATATGCTCTCACGTACAACATGCACATTCCTCCCTCCTGGCAAAAACCGGCTGCTGAAAATTGGAGTGCACGTTATATGCAAGAAATACGGTAAAAGCAGTTTCTGCCACTTAGGGGCAAAACCATTTGCAACTGGAGAGCAGGCCCCTTACAAGGAAAAACCTTTTTTTCTTCTTCCTTCTGCCTTTCGAAAAGCGAGGGGCAGATTATACCGCAGGGGCGTGTTGTGCGCCAGACGTTACAGCAGCCTGTCCTGGAAAAGGGGGACCCAAGAGCAAGGGAGCACGGAGACCAGCCCCGCCATGGGTGTGTTGCCCCGGTGTGTTGCCAGCCACAGATGGAGAGCAGGAGCGTGCAAGGAGCCCCCGCTGCTGTGTCTGTAAGGAAAAAGTCTTTCTAAATCTTCCCTCTCCTGTTGCCCCACCCAGCGCTAGGAAGAGTCGTGCGGGGCCGGCTGGCTCCCAACACCACCCCCTTCCCCACTCCCACACCCAGCATTGCTGATTGCAGACATAGGGAAACTGAGGCACGGGGGCCAAGTGATGACTCGCCCGTCTGGGGCCTTGCAAACACAGCTCTAACCCCCTGCTCTCTGCACCCAGCCTTGCCGGGTCATCATGGGCACGGAGAGCTGCCAGAGGTGCCCCATCGAGCTCCCCAGCCCTCCCCCCGGCTCTCCCCCGGCCTTTAAACAGAGGGTGTTTTCACGGCCAGGGTCATGCCCGGCTTTGCTGGCAGACACATGAAAGCGCTTC